TAATGTAATGCAATGCAATGCAATGCAATGCAATGCAAGTATGTACGTATGTATGTATGTATGTATGTATGTATGTATGTATGTATGTATGTATGTATGTATGTATGTATGTATGCATGTTTGTATGTATGTATGTATGTATGTATGTATGTATGTATGTATGTATATGTGTGCCTGTCGGAGGAGAGCAGCATTTTATTTGGAATGCTACGTGCACCAAAAAGGTGAAGGTTTGTACTTCAGGTTGTTAGAACCTTCCTTCGTTCAACCACCAAGAACACTTCTTAGCTTCCCATCCAAGGTTTTGGATAGGCGCTTCACTGAAATCCATTTGACCCATGCCAGAACTGATCACAGTCCTTGGCTCGTTTGGGGACGTCATCGTAGCTTTCCCCAGGTTAACAAATATTTGGTTGCGGCGTTGATATCGCAGAGGGGTATTGGCAGAGCTCGTTCCAGCTGTGAAAACGTTGCTTTGGCATAAGGCCGGTAGACGAAAAAGCTGTCGTTGCTGAGGATGTACATCTCCCAAAGGCTCCATGTAGCTCTATGGTCTATACTTAGGGCCCAAAGGGGTTCCCATATAACTACTTTGGGGCCCAAGTATATACTATATAGCTACATGGAGCCTTTGGGTCTGTAGCGTTGTGAAAACTAGCGTGCTGGTTCGTGAGCCCAAGTAAGATATCACAACTGCCGCGACACACTACGCTTGTGGCTTCAGAACTGAACCCCAGGGCTGACAGCCAACCGTATGGAAACTACTATAATGGGGTATATAATCGGGTATATATTAGGCTTATATAGGAGTAATGGAAAAGAAATAGGAAACTACTGTAGTACATTTTGAGCAAAGTCTGCGCCTTTTTTGTTGTAGTTGGCAAGTTCCCTGGTCTGCTACTCCAGCTGCAAGGGTGACTGGGACCTGCAGCCTACGGCAAACTTGAACAAGGCTAAAGCAGTCTGACAGCAAATCAGTTTCCATAAAATGGGGGACCGCAATCTAGACCCTTTATACTATTATCCTTATAAGGGGGAAATCCATCAAAGGGACCCTAATGTTTGGAAACCTCCAATTAGATACGGGCTTGGGGCTCACTCAGCTCGGAGCAAAGCGCTCGCAATCCCATCTTGTTTGAGACTTGGCAGGACCTGGTCATCGGTAGGCTCCCACTGGAAAGCGGCCTCCTCCGGTCTGAGGCCAATTTGGACCAGAGTGTCGAGGGTAGGGGTGCTAGTGCTCGCGGTGGCGGTGGCAGTGGCATTGGCGGCGGCAATACCGGTGCTGCTGCTGCTGTTGCTCTTGCTGTCGCTGCTGCTGCTGCTGCTGCTGCTGCTGCTGCTGCTGCTGCTCCTGCTGCTGCTGCTGCTGCTGCTGCTGCTTCTGGTGCTGCCGCTGCTGCTGTTGCCGCTGCCGCTGCCGCTGCCGCTGCCGCTGCCGCCGCCGCCGCCGCCGCCGCCGCCGCTGCTGCTGCTGCTGCTTGTATGGTTTCTGTTGTTTCAGCTTTGAACGGTGGCAGCGTAGGAAGCAGTGCGGTCGCTATACACATACGTATGACATACATACATGTAGGGAAACATGAAGAAGTCCAAGCTCAGGGCTTTGCTACTGCACCAGCATAGTTGGGAAGCATTGCGGCTTGCTCGATTGTGGCGCAGAACGTGTCCAGCGCAACTCCCATTGGAGGACTTCTGCCATGTGAGCCGGCACGTCGAAGCGTTTGTGGGCTGCGCCCGTGGTGGACGGCTTGATGAGGCGCATGCCATTATGTATGCTAGATATACATTCCATGAGATGCTGAACGTCAGAATAACTTGCTCCTTCCTGGACATGCGAGTATAGCTACTAAAGCTATTGCTAAGTATTCAGACGCATCGTAGTTTGCATCCTACCAGGCCTTTCAGTGGTGATAAGCTTCCCGTGAAGGCCCACGAAAACAAAGTAAACAAACGCAGACTTGATAAGAACATGAGAGCCTACCAGGGAGGACGGCAGGCTTCAGGGGGTTTGTACAGCTGTTTCCAGCAAAGGGTTTAGGCCTTAGGGTTTAGGGCTTAGCCCTAAAACCTTAAACCCTATAGGGTTTACGGGTCCTAAACCCTAAACCCTAAACCCTATAGGGTTTAGGCTTTAGAAGGGCTAATTGTCGGTAGACATTCTACGATGTGAAGTTGATGGCCTTCGAGGTGGCCTATGAAGTTGCACAGGAGTTTACTGTTTCCCTACCGGGTCCAGGTACGCGAACAATCATATACCCTAAGGGTCCAAGGACCCAAACAATAGGGTTTTAGAGCCAAAATACTACAATAATGATGGTACTTGGGCCCTAAAACCATATTGCTTGGGTCCTTGGACCCTTAGGGATACTTGACCCAAGGCTCAAAGCTGTGCTAGAATTACAAGCACCAAACTCCCAAGTAACAAATAAATGGGTACATGGACCCCTGGAGTTCAGGTTGCAGGGCTACGCGGCCAACGATGACATCTCTGCACCCTAAAACCCAAACCTTAAACCCTAGACCCAGCAGAGGTTACAAGACCCCTAAACCCTAATCCTTAAACGTTAAATCCTAAACCCAAAGCCCTAGCAAAAAGGAAACCAGACCCTCAGAGGTATTCCCCAAACCCAGAGCTCTAAACTCTAGGTGGGGGGGAGTTTCCCAAAATTAGGGTTGCCTTTGAATGGGATATTCGGGCTATACAGGGCTTATATAGGGATGCGACATCTAGGCTTTAGGGTTCAGGGCTTCCCGAGATTAGGGCTATCTTTTGGGGGGGTTCCAATGGTAACCATAGTAAAGATTTTAACGGTTTGGGGTCTATATTTGGGTCCCCTATTCACGCAAACTACCATATTCATATTACCTTGTCATGCGTGTCTGCTACGTGTTTGTCAGGTTATCGCCAAAGACGCGATGCACAATTTTGTCCTCGACGAAGACGGCTGCGTCAAGGGTGTGTATTCCCACGCCTGTGCAAACAGGTCCTAGCAGCCCAGCTACCAGTAGAGTAGGCCTGCACTCTCAACCCCAAACCTTCAATCTAAGGAGCAGCAGCCCATCATTGCAACAAAGTAGAAGCCCCAGACTTCCTTGTATAGCTATACCAGAATTTGCCCCCTACCCTAGGGCTCCAGTTACCTAAATGATGGGTTCTGGGTGTTCTATACCCTATAGTTTCATAGCCCAGTAACC